TATCTACACAGAAATAAGTAAATAAATTTCTATATCTATATATATATATATATCTCTCTCTCTCTCTAGCTCTCTGTCTCTCCCTGTCTTTCCCTCTCCCTCTCTCTGTGTTTGGCTTTGCAGGAGGAGCGAAAGGCAATTTTCCGAATTCATGTCCGCAAGGCCCGGTCGAATCCCATGAAGCGAGATAATAATCATAATGCTGGCAATGATAAATGATAACAATACTGGTAGCCGCAGCAGCAGGAGGCGCAGGAAGAGGAGAGGAGGAGGTGTTAGTGGTAGCAGCAGCAGCAGCAGCANNGCAGCAGCAGCACTAGTAGTAGAAGTCGTAGTAGTAGCAGCAGCAGTAGCAGTAGCAGAAGCAGTAGCAGTAGCCATAGCAGTAGCAGTAGCACTAGCACTAGGAGTAGGAGCAGGAGTAGGAGTAGAAGTAGTAGAAGTAGTAGAAGTAGAAGTAGAAGTAGAAGTAGAAGTAGTAGTAGTAGTAGTAGTAGTAGTAGTAGCGTGCAGCACCACGAGAAGCTGGGAATACAAGTTGGCAGGCGGACGAAAGTCTGTCGGTGGAGGTGGGGCCTGCCATCAGTTTCCATTACATTGCATAGCATCACACACTATGTGGTCTAACCCGAACACAGTTCTGACGAGGCAGGCACTGTGAATTCCATCGCGTCTTCCTCAGCAGGCGGGGCATTTTCATAGGGTGCGGTCTCAATTCAGGCAGGGACCTTGGGCTGTGCGGTGTCCTGTACTCGAGTTGTAGAAGCACTTGGTGACCCTGTGTTCGCAAGCGTTTGGGCTTTGGAGTTGAAGGGCCGGCTGAAGGTTGCGACAAATTGAGCAGGAGCAGTTGCACACAAACTGCGAATTCGGCATAGCTGCACAGTCCCTGGTGAGGCCAGCTTGGAAACAAAGCAGAGGTCAGCATGGCACCGTTACAAAACATGACCAATGACGAACCACTTTGTGACGACGGCGGACAACAACAAGCGACCATATTATGCTTGGGAAGGCAATCCCATTTAAACCATACGAGAGCTTGAGTCGTTGAGCAGACCCTAAACCCTAAACTCTACCAGGGTTGGGCAGGCCTGGAGCTTTGCTGACTCACGGCTTGGGGTTCCTCGCACAGGTTTCAGTGGCGCAGAGCTTGCCAACGTCGTGAACGAGGCCTTGCTCGCTGTAACACAGAGGCTTGAACCAAGTTCCAAAAAATCCTTAGGGCTCGTTGATATACTGTAAGTCTACTATAGTACTTGTCGTTGAGCAGCCTCCTCTTTTAGCTCCCTACGGTTCCCAACTCGTCGCGCAGCACCCTGTAGAAGGAGGAACCCAAGCCAAATGCTCGAGACCCTAGGTCTGAATCCTTCAACATGATCGAACATAATGAAAATACACACAAAGGTAAAGCAATGTTAAACTTGCATATCATGTTTGAATCAACACCGTGTGGTATGAACCCCCCCTTGCCGGGCAATGGGTGAAGCACATGCAGACTGTTTCAGCCACTGGCTTTGGGCTTGGGATTGTTGAGGTCTAGCGCTCAGGGTGACGTGCGCCAGATCAGGCCATTTTCCTGGCCCTGCGCGACACGAGATCTCAACCCACTGCGAAGGCACCTGCTCGGGCATTTCACGTTGGAAGAGTTAGTGCTTTCTGAGCACAGGCTTGAAGCAGTCTTGTCCACCCCATAATAGACGAGCTTGGCCTTACATACGTGACAACAACATCATGGTGACGATGGTGCGAAGCCACTACGGCCACGCTCAAAACCTTAACTATATCGTCTGCCATCGTCTCCTTCACCACCACCACCACCACCACC